ACTTTTTGTTGCTAATTGTTTCTCTGCGTTAATTGCGGAGAGACTGGGGAAGAGTTGCTGGGCGAGTGAGTTGAGGGCGGGCCTGGATCACCCAAAACTGTCCAGACTGACTTGGGCGCTCCCACCCCCATCCCTCCCATGACCATAGCCCACCCGGGGCCGAAGGAAGCAGTCCCGAAGGAAGCAGCGTGGGAGTAGTCTGAGGAAGTTTTCCCTCCCTCACTTATTTTGGGGTGAAGGTGGGAGATGGATTTAATCAGCTTCTTATTTTGGGCCATCCAACCCACTCATCCTGGTGAGGACCTGGGTGTGGTAGGGAAGGGCTGGGAAGGGCCCAAAGTGCAGAATATGGTCTGCATTTGACTCCCCCTGCTCTAGTCCCAGGCCCCGGCTGGATCACACCCTTCGAGGTAACATCTCGAGGCACAGCTGCCTGTGCCCCTGAAGAGACCTGGGGCTGAAGGGACAAGTGTGGACCTAGGACTGGGACCACCCTTGTGCATGGAAACTAGAAACAGAGAGGAGGTGACTTTCTCAGGCCTGAAGCTCCCATCTTAGCCCCAAAGAGAGCGCCTAACAAAAGGAGCCTCTGGAAGACTGCCCACTGCCAACTTCTTCCCCTCCCCAGCCTCCACTAGGTCCCCTAGGGGAGGGGCAGCAGCACTGGCTCTGCTCTAAGTGGGTCATGGTCGTCCCAGAGCCAGAACCACCATTTGCTTCTGGAACACAGTAGGGTGGGAAGTTGAGGGAGGGCGGGGTGGACCCAGGAGAGGCCAGGATCCAAGGCTTGCTGGAGAGCTGGAGAGCCCCCACCCTCTGCTCTCTGGGCCTTCTACAGTGGGAGGTGTTCCTTGACTTTCTCATAGGGAATACCTTGCACTTACTGATCAAGACAATGCCAGCCACCTGGGACCTACTACCCAACACAGTTACTCCTTCTCCAGGCCAAGCTGAAGGCAGAGGAGAGGAGAGGCAGCCTAAGCCTCAGACAGCTAGGTCCCTTTCCCCAGGCCTCTCGGCTCCACACTAGCTCCAGGACAGTGTGTGTGTCTGGTGTTTCACCCTTCCCCCACTCAGCCGCAGACACCAGAGTCCTCTCCTGTGGTTCCAGTCTCATAGTCTGTGGTTCTTGCTTTGCTCAGAGCCTGGCTCTGTGAGACAGAGAAAGAAACTTGCCCAGTCCGGGAAAGGAAGAAAATGATGGGGACGTTTTCTTTCCTGGCTTTGTGACACTCTTCCGGGGAGTCCTTTTCCTGACAAAGCATCCATTTTTCTCCACAGGGTACAGGGCAGGGTTTATGAGTGTGCTTATTTAGGCCTGCCTATCTATCTCTTGAAAGACTGGCAGGGAAGGGATTTACCCAGAGCTCCTGGCTGTGTGTGATGCTTCCCCCGCCAGCCTCCCCTTTCCATCCTCCTCTTAGGAGCATGCCTTCAATTTGGCTAAGAGGAACTCACTCCTCCTGTCTTCCAGCTGTGGCGGGGAGGGGGCAGGCCACTCCCACCCTTCCTTAAGCCCTGTTGCAGCTGTTACCCCGGCAGGAGTCAGAGCTTACAGGTGAGGCTAGGAGCAAAGGGAGTTTCCTACATGCTTGGCACAGGCCACAGCAGGCCTCAGGAGGGCACTGGCTGTGGCATCAGCCAACACAGGTCAGGGCAAGCCTTCAGATCCAAGGGAACAGCTCTAGATTTATACACCCTGCTAGGCCCCTCTGACAATCAAGAGGTTAAACTCATGTGCCCTTGAGGAGGGTTTTGAGAAACAGGTGATGCTAGGGTTGTTTGGCCAGGCTTATTGGCTGGGGGAAAGGCTGGGTTGTTTACAGCTCAGGCCCTAACTCATGTCAGCCTTGAGGGGAATCACTTCCTGGAACTATGTCGCAATTCCTGCCCCTGTTGGGCTCAGGTCCTAAGTCAGCTGCTCCTGAATCACCCCCAGACCCCACACAAGAGAATTCTCCACCACCCATGCCTAGGCCTGAAGGGGAAGCATCATGTGGAGATAAAGCCATCCAATGACCATGGGTAGGAGATGCAGCACCCAAGGCAGCTTTTGCCCTTTCCCCTCCGAATGCCCACCGAAGGCAACTTGAAGCCCCCTCTGAACTCCTTAAATAGGTGGTGTAGGACCAGAGCTACCTGGGTCATGTCTCCCTATAGAAGAATCCAAGCATCTTCATAGTCCATGCATAACATGGCTTGTTTGGCTTTCCAAGCCTAGATTGCTAGGTCATAGAGTACTTATGTAGGGTTGTGGCTGATTAGCTACCACCTCCAAAGAGCCCAGCTTCCCCAGCAGCACCCAGCCTCAACCCTAACTCCTTTTCTAGACTCCTTCTGTAAAAGATCTCTGCTGTGAGGGTCCTAGAAGTGTGGTACCTCTGTTCCGGGAGCTCGCTTGCCCTGTTCAGACTCCTTCACCCCAACTCTTCCATACTACCTATCATGGACATGCCCCTTTTTCAAATGGGACATGCCATCTTTGCAAGAACTGACAGAGGAGAGAAGTGCTGGAGAAAATGCCAGCTCTAAAAAGACATTCTAGAGTGTGGAGATGGCTTAGAAAAATGCTTGCTTTGCAAGCTTGAGGACCTGAAATAAAACCCTAACACCCACGTAAAAAAACAGATGAGGTGGCACACACTTGTAATCTCAGCGCCGGGGAGACAGAGGCAGGCAGTTCCCTGAGGCATGCTGGCCATATAGCCTGGTCTAATAGATGAGCCACAGATCCCTAAAAAACAAGGGGGACAGCTCCCAAGGAACACTCCAGAGATTAACCTTTGGCTTCCACATATATGTAAGCACAAACCAAAAACATCCTAAAACTCTCTCAGTCCACCAGTGCTCTCATTTACAAGAGTACTAAAACCAGCCAGGACCATGGCTCTCCACCCTTACGCCTGTCTGTTCCCCATCACCCCTGGGGACAGGTCATACTGGGATCTGGGCTATAGAGTTCAAGTCAACGGTTAGCTTGAGAGTTCCTGCCAGAACCAGACTTGGAGTCTATCATATTTCTCACTAAGCCAAGGACATCTGCCAGACACTGTGAAGAAGCAAGGTAGGCTTCCTAGGCCAAGTAGAAAATTCTCTAACCCACACCCTTCTCCCTACAGGCCTGGCTGCAGCAATATGGCTACCTACCAACCCCAGTCACTCTCAGCTGCCATTGCCGCCATGCAAAGGTTCTATGGTTTGCAAGTGACAGGCAAGGCTGATTTGGACACCATGAAGTAAGTGCCTGGCATCCACTGACCACACTGAGTACTAGAAATGCTGCCACTTGAACCTGTCCCTGTGCCTGTATCCCAACCCTCCTCCATGCACACCGTTGCCTGGCCTTTCCCTTCACTGACACACACAGAGCCTTGCCCAACACTGATCTGGGGCCAGAGGCCAGGACCCTGGGTCAACTATAGCATCCACTCTCTCCCCTTCAAGGCTTTTTATTTTATATATTATACTGACCCCAATGTTTCCACCCTAGGGCCATGAAGCGCCCTCGTTGTGGTGTTCCAGACAAGTTTGGTACTGAGATCAAGGCCAATGTTCGGAGGAAGCGCTATGCCATCCAGGGCCTCAAATGGCAGCATAATGAGATCACTTTCTGGTGAGTCCAACAACCTAGAGATTTTTCTCCCATCCGCTACCCTTCCCTATTATTGTATTATGTAGAGAAAGAAATGGCCTGCACAAGCCTCCTCCATTCTTAGGGAGTAGGAAGGAAAATAGCTCTAATCTTGCAGAGAAGCACAGCCATTTGGGGGATGTACCCTAGTGCCAACACCCCCAAGTCTTTGGTTCTTGGAGCTGAGAAATCAAATATGTAATAGCAGGGAAAGAAGGTCTGGCAAGGTGGCTGGGTAGTTCAGTCAGTTCTGGGAGAGTGCAGGGAACTTTTCCTCTTTTATCCTAACACTTCCCTTCTCTATCCTTGTGTCTGGATGTCAGCATCCAGAATTACACCCCCAAGGTAGGCGAGTATGCCACATTCGAGGCCATTAGAAAGGCCTTCCGAGTATGGGAGAGTGCAACGCCACTGCGCTTCCGTGAAGTGCCCTATGCCTACATCCGAGAGGGTCACGAGAAGCAGGCTGACATCATGATCTTGTTTGCTGAGGGTTTCCACGGCGACAGTACACCCTTTGATGGTGAAGGGGGCTTCCTGGCTCATGCCTATTTCCCAGGCCCCAATATTGGAGGGGACACCCACTTCGATTCTGCTGAGCCCTGGACTGTCCAAAATGAGGACCTAAATGGTGAGTAAGGGAACCCTGGGTAGAGTGTGCAGTCACTTGTATATAGAGGGGTCTCCTTCCAGAATCTAAGCTAGCAGGGAATAGTAGCCAGCCTGATCTACATAGTAAGTTCCAGCCAGCCAGGGCTACAATAGTGAGACCCTGTCTCATAAATCAATAAAATTGAAAAAAACAAATCTAAGTTCTGAGGCAGAAGGATTGTGAGTTTGAGGCCTACCTAGACTATATACCAAGACGGTCTCAAAATAAACAAATAAAACAGCTAAGTACTAACCACACAAACCTAGAGTGGAAGCAGGAATTATATTTTAAGCTATTTATATCTGTATATTTGGTCTGCTGTCACTATCCGAATGCCTTGCCAATCACAGACATAAAAGCTTCCTTCTCATCCACTTTTGCAGGCAAACATGATGCCTACCTTCTGGGAGCAACTGAGCCCCACAGTGTAGGTTTTCTTGAGATTGGAATCCTGCCCCAGATCACCCCATTTCACCCAGAGGAGGGTATTCACTGGCTTCAGGCTTTCTGAACCAAACAGGAAACTGACTCTCAAGATTTGATCACTTTAGATGGAAAGCGTGACCAGCAGACTTATCTGTGAAACTGAAGTCTCTGGTGGGGCAGCAGGGAGCCTAAGAAGGGACCCAAGCTCTCACCATCTCCATCCCTCCAGGAAATGATGTCTTCCTGGTAGCTGTGCATGAGTTGGGCCATGCTCTAGGCCTGGAGCATTCCAACGATCCCTCTGCCATCATGGCGCCCTTTTACCAATGGATGGACACAGAAAACTTTGTGCTACCTGACGACGATCGCCGAGGCATCCAGCAACTTTATGGCAAGTTATCCATCCCCATACCTGCTCCTCTGTCACTGCTCTTGTCCCTTTTTTGTCTCTGGTCTGCATTTTTCCCTCCCAAGTGCTGTGAAGTCTACACACCACATTTTACTGCCTCTATTAGCTCCGATTTTTTTTAAAGTTGTTTTTATATGTATAAGTGTTATTCCCTCTCTCTCTCTCTCTCTCTCTCTCTCTCTCTCTCTCTCTCTCTGTGTGTGTGTGTGTGTGTGTGTGTGTGT